AGACTGTGAAAGACAAACACTACGCAGGAGATCTACTTAGATACTTCTGGGTGCAAGCTGCTTCTACTTTAGACTAGGAACTCTAATAATGGCTCCCATCAACTGATCCGACAATTGCAGTTGATGCAGCACAGAAGACTACGACTAGAAACTCGAGCGTTGGAAAACAAAAATAGAGGGAAGACGACCAGAGTGGCAAGGTACGACGCCAGATAGTAGGGATTTACGCTTTAAAATGATCGGAGGTGCGAGGTTCCATTGCTGCGCACTTGCTTTTTCTCGTAGAGGAAATGAATGAAGAATAGAGCAAAATGGGGAAGAGAACGACAAGAAGAAAAGAAGGAAGAGATTGATGGGAATAAGAGAGAATGAGGAAATTAATGAATAGGTAAGAGTTCTAGTGATGCCAAATGGAGGGTTGTTGCTGGTGTTCAGTGTAAAGATGATGAAGGAGAGAGGCTAGAGGGGAGGGAGTCACCACTGATTCACCGCCTCTATCGAGAGGTTGAAGACGACGAACCTTGGTTCTAGTTCGATTTATTTCATTGGAGAGAGAATGAGAAAGAGGGAGTGAATGGGAGAGGGGGCTACCGGAGAAGAGACTACCGAAGGTGAGTTACCACCACTCTGGTTCGCTGCAGGTGGTTTCAGATCTGCTACTGCAACTTGCAGCGGCGGTGACGAAACGAGAAGTAGAGAGAAAATAGAGGGGAGAGAAGAAGAAGATGAAGGAAAAGAGAGAGAGAGAGAGAGAGAGGGATCGACTTTACTCTCGCCGTTGTCGCTCTGTGTGTGGAAGGGAGAGAGACGATGAATAGTGTATTAGTTCAAATTGAAAAGATTATGTTGTATTTACAGGTAAGGAAAAGGGCAATTTTATAATTTTGAGTAAATTCAAGGGTATTTTTGTAATTTTAAAAATCTGGGTCTAACTGATTCTAAGGTGTCAAAAGATGGAGGGTTGAGATGGGTTTCACCATAGAGAGGGTTTGGGTGTGTGAACCCACGAGATTGGTCAAAATGGAACCTTTTTTGATGATGGAGTAAATTAGGGTATTTTTTGGTTGAAATTTGGTAGGTSGTGGTTTTTGGATGTTCTGAGTTGATTGGTGGGGTCAGATTGAGTTAAATGGGTCCGGATTGGGTAGATCTGGAAAGGGCTTGATTCAGTCAATTTAGAACCTCTAAACAAAATCTTGGTGCGATAAAGGGGCAAATAAAGGAAGTTTTGGGTGAAATTTCATAAGGTAGGGTTTTTGAATAGTCCAAGGTGATCGGTAAGGTCAGATTGGGCCAGCTGAGCCCGAATTAGAAGGATTTGGATTCCAATCAATCTAAAGCCTCGAAACAGAATCTAGGTGCGATTAAGGGGTAAACAAAGGTGTTTTGGGCTGAAATTTTATAGGTGGGTATTTGAAGATGTTTGAGATTTGATGGTGATGTTTGATTAGTCTTGGAGAGTCAAGATCGTAGGAATTTGGGTCAATATGATGATTCGAAACAGAATCTTAGTTTGATAAAAGGGTAAATGGGAGAATTTGGGGTTAAAACTTTATGGGTAGGTATTTTGATGTATCCAGAGTTTAATGGTGTGGTTTGATTGATCCGGATGTGTTAAGATCAAGGGAATCTGGGTTTCGAGTGTTTAGGCTAACGAGAGGCATCGGAATGGAATCTTCGCTTGATGAAGCGGTAAACGGAAGAATCTTGAGCTGAAATTTTATGGGTAGGTATTTTGAAAGGTCTTAAGTTTGATTGTGGTGTCTAATTTGAGGGTAAAAGTGAAAGTAGGGGTTGATTGGGCCATCAAATTTAGGGGCTTTAGGGCTAAAAGTTGGGATTTTTTGGTTTTTTGGTGTTTTAGAGAGATTGTGAGGGTCTAATAGGGCATTCAAGGTAAATTGGGGGTTCAAGTGGTGGATTGAGCAAAAATTGGGTGTTAACAACTGCCCTTTTTTGTTGTGAGGTAGGAAACTACGAAAAAAGAAACACAGAGATTTTTGCAAAGGGTAAGTTTGGAGGAGAGGCAAAACGAGGAAAGAGAATTATGGTGAGGGAAGGCGAAGAAGAAGAGTTCCTATGCAGCATCATTTCATCATGTTCAGGCCAGTTTTATTTATTGTGTGATTGCTTAATCGCTGAGGAATGGTTTGTACTCAAGAGGGGGGCATAGCGCATGTCAGACATAACAAAAATAGCATATAGCACGATAAGTCGCGGTGCAATCAGGAAATTTATTTTCTACTAGAAACACAATCGAAATCATTCTATGACACCATAAAAGTATATTAAACCGTGATGTAGATTGGAAGTACTATTGTATATCGAGAAATCAGCAAAATGTCACGATATGCCTTGATGAAAAATTCAAAACTTTTATGATAAGCAAAATACGTTAAGCTGTGATGCAAATATGCTGAGAAGTTAGCAAAAACTCATGATATGGCATGATGCAAGGTTTAACATTTATAATAAGAAGCAACATGTTAAGCCGCGACGCAAAACAGAAAATCCACTATATGTTGGAAAATCAGCAAAATGCCATGATGCAAGGTTCAAAATTTTATGATGAGCAAAAATACGTTAAGCCGTAATGCGAATCCAAAAGTCCATTATATGTCGGGAAATCAACAAAAACTCATGATATGCCATGGTGTAAGGTTTAAATACATTAATAATACAATAAAAARAGATGGATAAAATGGGGAACTCCAAATCCCACAAATACTTTAATAATACTAAATCTAAGGTTTAAATAACTATGAATAAAATATAAATATGTAAGAAATACATACTTTAGTAATTAACATGAAGAAATACATCATAATCTATGTAGCAGGACATGTAAACATTATAAAATTTTGTTAATAATGCATCAATCAAGAGTATAAGAATAATAATAGAAATATATAACAAATATGCATAAAGACATTCATAAGATATTATTTATTTAAGCAAAATTATTAATGAGTAATAATAGAACTATATAACAAATAAAAAATATGTTATATTCATGAGCATATGTAAGGTCGAAGGCACAAACTTATATGCAAACATTATATATTAATTTTAAAATCAATTATTTTCTATTTTATTATTTTTTTACTTTGTATATTAACAAAAAATAAGTTAACCTGAAATTCTTAAATAGTTTGGAAGTAGTAATTTTATTTCTATAAATAATAAATATGTTATTTATTGTAAACTAAAATATTAATTAATAATTTATAGAAACATATGATCCTAATTAAAAAATATATGGTAGATTCATTAGGATTTCTATTTAACATATCATATGCAAATTTATAAATTTTAGCTATTAAAAGAAAGATTTTTTTAGTATTTCATTTTTATAAATTATTGAAAAATTAAAACAACTTTTTGATATAAATATGGAATTATGGTTTTGATAGTTATTCATTTCATTAATTTTTATAAGATACTGATTTTAATGATATATATATATATATATATATATATATATATATATATATATATATATATATATATAAATTTGGTTGGACATTCATATATAAAATTATTTATTTGAATGTTATCCCCCAAGTTAACTAAAGTCTATGTGAGTGTCCAACCACTACCTCTATTGTCTTACTATAGCGTGGAAGTCAATATTTTTTTAGCTTGTATTTCTTAGGTAAATAAATGGCAAGATTTGAAAATCAACAATTAGTGGCATTAATGGTGACAAATAGTGGGTTTAATTTGAATATTAAAATGTAAAAGGACCACACAATTAATGGGGCATACAAATTAAAGTATAAATTGCTAAAACCTCCCTTTAAGTTTCTGACTATTGTTGAGACCTCACCTTTAGTTTAGTAATTGCAATCACCTCCCCTGAACTTTCTAATACAAATGCAAGTAGACCCCATTGGTAGAATCTTCTAAAACATGGCATGAAAATGTCCAAAATACCCATGCAATTACTACAGAGATTGGTTTCTATGGAAAATAAATACAAATTTTATGAACAACAAAACCAAAGAGAATTTAAAGTTGCAACTCTACCTTTGAGTGATTGATATGAATGGCAGATTTGAAAAATAAATAAATTTAAGAAAAGAGGTTGGAAGGATTCAGGGTGGTGATTCATATGAAAAAAAAAATTGGAAAACATTTTTGTTAAAAGTAATAGCATGGGTATTTTGGACATTTTCATGCCTTTTTTAAGAAAATTCGACCAAAAAGGGTCTATTTACAACTGTATTAGAAAGTTCAATAAAGTAATTACAATTACCAAACTTTAGGAGAATTTCAGCAACAACTAGAAACTTTAAGTGAGGTTTCAGCAATTTACTCAAAGGTAAAGGCATGAGAAGTGGGAATTAATGGGCTGAATGGCACAATGACTAAACATTTAAATTTTAAGGGTAAAATATAAAAACCTCTGCTTTCTGACCATAATAAAATCCTCCTATGTGTTTTCACTGTAATAAAAACCTCCCTTAAAATTTGTTAAAGGTAAAATGCTGAAACCTCCCCTAAAGTTTCTGACCAATGCTGAAACCTCCCCTTAAGTTTGGTAATTACACTCACCTCCCCTTCACTTTTTAGCGCAGTTTCAAGTGGACCGCCTCTATTAGAATCCTTTTATAAAAGGCACAAAAATGTCCAAAATCCCATGCAATTACTATTGACGCTAATTACTACAGAAAAAAAACAATACAAACTTTATAAACAACATAAAATAGAGAATTTAAAGTTGCAGCTTCACCTTTGAATGATTGATATAAATGGAAAATTTAGAAAATAATTCAACTTCAGAAAAGAGATTGAAAGGGTTTGGACTAGCGATTTTCCCAACCCAACAACAAAGACGCTTACAGTGGCTTTTGGTGTTGCAAGGTAGGCCCTAGAAGCCTGAAGTTTGATGAAAAACCTGGAAAACCCAAAAACGCTTACATTGTGCTGAGAAATCAACTTTTCGGTGAAGCTAATTTTGGTAGCTTGTTCGAAGTGGCTCAGTCAACACAGCTCAATGAATGCTTAAGCCTCTCAAAGGGGCCCTAAAAATATAGAAAATATGAATTAAGTTTGCCAAATACAAAATTCCAAACATATTTTTAATGGTAATGTGAGGTTCCAATTAACAGTAATAGTACTTATTGATTGAAAATAATAGTTTATTGAAGAAACAAGCATTGAGGTGGTGATGTGAGGAAACTGGATTCAATTCAACAACCACGAAGGATGAGAACAGCTATTCAACTCCAGGATGTCCTTTCAGGAATGCCTTGCACAATGCCTTTAGTGGCTCTTGATCAGGCTGGATCCCCTCAAAGCTCTCAATTGCTGCCTTTGCCACCTCAGACTACATGCATTCAGATTTTATCAATTAAAAACTCATAACAGGATCAACATATATAGCAACACTAGGAAACAAATGCAGAGAAAATTAATGACTAAATCTTGCCCACAAATAAAATAAGTTATACGAAATGGAGAAACAGAGAGAAAAACACCACCCCTTACTAAAGCATATCAGATGATACCAGTCAACCATGAGTTTTCTAGTATTGGTGAGACTTGCAACTGGCCAGACACTTTCAAAGAATTTACAATAACTAATTCTTTTGATTATTTGAAAATGGATGAAACTTGAATAGTGCTGCTTCCATCAATAAAATGATGAGAACTTGACACCATGAAGCGAACAAAATTACACAACTAATTAAACTTAGTAGGGTCAGTAGAAATTATGCTATATTTTGAACCTTATAACTGGATATTATCATAATTTTTTCTTGGATTTTGGAAATATATCTAGAAGAATGATACTGAATCTGATGTCAACTAAATTTGTACTTAATGATGTTGAAGGAAAAGTGCAAACATTTCAAGCAATTGCTTCTCTTCCCCTCGTCACTCTCCCTTAAGTGATTGATAGTTCTTTTAGTTAATTAAATAATTGAAAGAAATAAGAAATAGAAAGAAAATGGTCAAAATGTTTCTTTTTTTATTGGAAAAATGGTTAAAATGTTCAAAAAAAATAAAGTCCACTCAATCTGATACCAACATGGTAATGGTACAAAGAAGTCCTGCAATACCCACATATTAAACTTCTACCAGGGACCCTTCAATGTTGCAATTGATAAAGATTGCTTGATAAACACATACATCAAACAGTTAGAAGCAGTGTCTTCTATGCAAGGAGCATTACCATATTGGGCCCAATTAACTAGAGGCTCAACTGGACAAGTAGAATCAGTGAGCTCAGTAGGGACCGAGTCAAGAAGAGATGTTGGAAGAGGAGCAGGAGCAGGAACAAAAGGATTAGGTCCCAAGGAAGTCTCTTCAACCCTACAAGTCTCACTCTGAAGAAAATTTTGAGGGTCAAAAAATGACTGAGACTCATGAAAGGTGACATCTTTTATGATGATTTTCCTCCCAGTAACTGGATCTAGACACTTGGTTCTCCAAGTAATTGCCTCAGGATCTAGCTTGGTTCTCTAAGGATCATTGACATGAATGAAGCACACGCAACCAAAAAACCTTTGGTGGAAAGAAAATACAGGTTCATTTGGACACAGAACAAAGAAGGGGGACCCAATACTCTGGATGGCATCTTGATTAGATAAGATGCAGTGAGAACATGAGACTGGAACTTCTTTGGCACCTTGCTTTGAAACAAGAGAGCAAAGAGCAATTTCCAATAGATGTCTATTTTTCCTCTATGCAACTACATTTTGTTGTGGAGTGTAATTGCAAGAAGACTGATGTAACGTTCCTCATCTTCAAAAAACACATTTAGAGAGTTCTTGAAACATTCACCCACATTGTTAGAAATGGAATTATTTAATCTTCTTCCTAAACTAAGTCTTAATCATCTTGCAAAGACTATAGTGATTCTAGGTACCTCCTCTCTTTCTTTCATCACGTAAATCCAAGTACACCTCGTAAAGTGATCAATAAAGATAATAAAGTAATGATAGGCATCCATAGAAATAATGGGTGAAAGACCCCACACATTAGATGAACCAAATCAAAAGGAACAAAACTTCATTACTAGAGCTTGGATAGTTTGTTCTACAATGCTTACACAATTGATACATTTCACCAAATAGACTCTCAATTGACACTCTTTCAAATAACTTTGAAAACAAAACTCTTAACAACATAAAAGATAAATGACCCAATCTGACATGTCAAACATAGATAGAAGCACTAGACTCCTTGCATTCATGGTTATGACTTGTTAAAGCTTTAAGAGCTGAATTAATATCTTGATTGAGATAGTAGAAACCTCCAACCTCAAGACCATTCCCAATCATTTGCCTCATCAGCCAGTCCTGAAAGACAGTGTGTAGGAAAAAAAGTAACAATACAATCCAAGGTCTTGGTGATTTTTGAAATAGGAAGAAGTATTTGTCATGTGTTGGAGGCCCGAGTCAATGTGACCCATGAGCCATAGGAATGAGGCTGAATGGCACTAAAGGCAGAAGTAATGCATGTCTTAGCAAAGGATGAGGAATAAATAGTGAATTGTTTCGATCAATTGAGGATGTCTACCTCTTTAGTTGTGAACTCAGGGAAGCTGTTAGGAGTGATCTGTCTCACACAAGAAGAAGCACTAGGGGTTCTAGACTTTTGCACTCCATCCACCATATTTGAACTTGCTACATGCCCAAAAATTCCTTGGCCTTTATTTGGCTTTTCCTCCTTTCTAAGAGCTGCTGGTTTGAGATGGGGATGCAAGATCCAGTAGGCATCTTGGTATGTTTCTCTGCTCCACAATGAGAGCACTTCAAAATTTTCTTATCTCCTCCCCCTCCTTATTTCTAATAGTCAAGAAGAATACATGCTACAAAGAAGGAAGTTCAGCTCCCTCCAAAATCTGAGATCTAATGCATAAGAAGAGTCCAGTGTTTTAAAAGGCATGGGAGGCACTGACACATCTGAGGCATGCGCATCAGGTGCAAGAGGCGTACACCTCTTGCGCTTTTTTCATGAGGTGTGCTAGAGGCGTACGCCTCATGTGCCTCATGCACATCTGATATAAAAAGACAAAAAAAAAGAAAAAAGAAAAAAAAGGAAAGGAAAGGAAAGGAAAAGAAAGGGAAGGGAAAGAAAAAGAAAGATAAGAAAAAAAGAGAAAAGGAAAGAAAAGTAAAGGAAAGGGAAGGGAAGAAAAGATAAGGGGAAAGAAAGTGGTTTGCCCCCTACTCCTTCGACTGGGGGGCAAAGCCCCCCAGACCCCCCCACCCCCCTTTCAAATCTTTATTCTTCTTAATATAAAAAAGATTTTTATTAAAAATAAAGAAAAAAATGAGATCCCCCCTTCCTCTTCATCCTCCTCTGAACCCCCCTGCTCTTAAGGAGGCTTACACCTCTTGCGTTCTGAACTATGCCTCACACCTCTAGGTAGTGGAATGCCTCGCGTAACGCCTCCGCGTTTTAAAACATTGGAAGAGTCAAGTCCATGAAGGAATTTGAACACCCTCCCTTCAATTTGTTTTCGGTACATTTCTTGGTTTTCAGAATTCTTCCAAAAAATAAAATAAGTTGATGATCAAACTCCTCACAAAGCCTTTCAAGAGTAGCAAAGTTGCAATCGGCAAATTTCCTTGAGTTAAGATTGCAATGTCTTATGTCAATCTATAAACTCTTGCATTTTTTTTCTGTCCACAAGTAGTAGATAATTTCTCCCAAATTTTATAGGTTGTAGGGCACTTCTGAACTGCCCTAACAATCTTTGGTGTCATGGAGGATAGCAACCATGTCATGACCAAAGCATTTTTTCTCTGTACAAGCCCCATATGTAGGTTCTTCCATCTTAGGTTCTTTGACTCGTCCATTGATATACTGTAGCAAACCACACTTGTGGTAAGACATTTTGCTGAAATAAACCACTCCTTGAAGTTGTATTCGTCTAACTTCGCATTTGTGATGAAGACTAGGAGAACTAGGGTTCTCCATGTTAAAGAAACCATCACTTGGTTGATTTAGAAGTTACTTCACTTGGCTTGAGGACATAATGAACTCTTGCTGAACTTGAAACTCACCCAGAAACAACAGATACAATTAGTACTGCTCGGCCTATAAGTTGGGAAGCCACTCCCAAATGACAGCAAGAGAATGTAAAGGAAAATTTAAGCTGCAACACTAATCAAACACCTGGCCTGCAAACTCCTGCACTACCAACAGTAAGGTGCTTCTTGGCTTGCAACCTATTACTGTTCAGTCTCTAAACACTTCAAGTAACAAGTCAACAAGCAATCCTTCAACTCCAGTCAACTAGAAGTGTGGTCAGAAATGCTTCTTCAACTGCACCTGCTAGCAATTCACAGTCTTAACCTACCTACCGCAAGTTACTCTGGTAGTCCAGAGACTATTCACAGCTTGTCTTGCCCTAGTAGGGCATAACTGAACCTGTTCTAGGACCACTTGAACCTTCTCCCAAGGAAAAAACCTAGGAAGAAACTAGTTTTAGAGCATCACGAGCATAACTGAGGTTTCTTTGACAATCCTAAGCAGAAATAAGAGAAATAAGGAAGATAAAGCAGCAAAAGAATAGATTTCGAACCAGTAGAAGTTATAATATCAATGTTCTGATACCATGTCTACATTCAGCCTTAAAGAGAAGAAGAAAGGTTGAGAGAAATGAGTGGCACACTCTAACCCCCGCCCGCAACTATCTTTTATATTACAGCATTAAGAAAGAAAGTACAATAACAAAGAAAAAAGTACAATGACAAATATGCCCTTAATTAGTAGGTAGTAAGAAATATCTTAAATACAATGTAAACCCAGGCCTGTTAGGCCTAATAAGAAAGAAAAGAGATAACTAGCATAACATAAGCATAAGAGGGCCCAAGCCCATAATGTTAGGCTCCACAACATCTAGAAGTCACATGAAATGTTGTTTAGTTATCTTTTTTTTTTACATTTATTTGATAAAACAGAAGATGCTACACAACACGGGGGAATGGAGGTGGGGTTAGGGGATATATTCAGAAATGCAGCATGAGTCAACCAATCAGCAGCTTTGTTTGCTTCCCAGAAGACATGGTGATAGGAGAAGCCATGATCCATCTTCTCTTTCAGATCCCAGCACTCTTCTATGATTGTCAAAAGGTTCCATGGGGGGGTAGCACGTTTCTTTAGGCAATTGATAACCAATTTTGAATCTCCCTCGATGAGCACTGAAAACTTCTGAAATTTAGTGTGACATTGTGGGCCTCCCAAACGGCCCACACTTCAGCTACATTAATGGTAGTTTTTCCAATGCAATAGTTTTTTATTTCCAAAACCCAACCACAATGATACCTAACAATGCAACCAACCAAGCACATGCCATCCCTATTACAAGAGGCATCAAAATTTATTTTGATGGCCCCTCTTGCGGGCCATCCCAGTAAATGGTCTTCCACGACTTCTAGTGAGGTCTGATATCACCTTCATGAGAGGATTTAACCCTAAAGAACAGGTCCGTAGCTTTCTCGATTAGAACAGGGGGAGGCATCAATTTATTGTTGAACAGATTCTCATTTCTGTTTTTCCAAATGTACCATAAAATAATTGCACATTTTTCGTTAAACCACAAATCGAAGGACTCGTTCTTATTAATTCTCGATTTGGAAGTCCTCCACCAATCTATAACCAAATTATTATCCTCCACTGAGCCATCAATATTTGCCCCCACTACCCGCCAAACTTGTTTAGCATAGTGGAAATCTTTGAAAATATGATCAAGATCCTCCTCACCACAGATTGCACAGGCGCTATCAATGTTATAGCCCCTTCTAATAAGAAACCTTTTTGTGGGGAATTTATGGTTTAGAAGAAGGAAAAGGAAAGCTTGTAATTTAGGAGGGCAGAGTAATTTCCAAATACTTCTCATTTCACTCTGAGGAGGTGCATTGTTTTGAGAAGCCAAATACTCTAGCTTGTAAGCCAATCTGATTGTAAAATCACCATTTGAGGATAACCTCCACACCAGATTTTCCTCTTTATTAGAGGGGATGAGGATAGATTGAATTTTCCTCCACGACCCTACATGAACTAAAGACTTAATGAGCCCTTCATTCCAAGTTCTATCAACGTTCATCACCTCCTTAACCATGAGATCCATATTTTGAAAAACATCATGGATGACATCATAACTGAGGGAATTGTCTCCAGCCCATATGTCCAACCAGAATTTCACATTTAACCCATTACCAATTTTCCACCCAACACCCCTATTAATAACTTCCTGGGAAGCTAGGATCCCCCTCCATGGCCACGAGATCACTTTCTTAGAGTTAGCTTCCTAGAAGTTTGTTTTACTGAGATATTTAGGGGTGCATACTTTTCTCCAACTTAGAAGATGGGTGGGCTTCCTTTCACTAGATTTGGACCAGATAAATTCTCTCTGAGTCTTGTCCAAATCATCTATCTCACTATTTGGAATTTTAAAACACCTCATGATGAAATGAGGTAAAGTTCCTAGCGAGGTATTGGCAAGAGTCAACTTTCCCGCCAAGGAAAGCGTATTTTTTTCCAACCTGCTAATTTATTGGTAATTTTCTCATGCAGTTCTTGAAGTTCTCTTTCTTGATTCTCCCCTCCAAGATGGGGGTCCCCAAATATTTAGAATTTTTGGATTCTAGAGGGATTTTCAAAATTTTATCCATGATTCATTGCAATCTATTTGGAATATTTTTTGAAAAAACTCACTGAGGATTTTGAGAAATTTGGCTTCTGGCCTGAAGCAATTGCAAACCTATCCAGAAGCAGAATGTCTTTTATTTTGAAACATGCATTAATTGTGGGTTTAGAAAAAATGAGACAATCATCTACAAACTGCAGAATAGGGATCACAGGCCCATTTCTTAAAACTTTACTACCAATTAATTTTTCCCCACTTAAAGATTCTCTTTCAAAGGATCAAGCCAGAATATCAGCACAAAGCACAAAAATGTAAGGGGACAGAGGATTTCCCTATTTGATCCCTAGAGGGCTGGATCTCCCTAGAGGGAGTACCATTAATCAAAAGTTGAAAAGAAGAGGATCTTATGCACTCCATAACCCAAGAAATCCATTTGCTATGAAATCCAAATCTAAGAAGTACTTTTTCAATGAAGTCCCATTCAAGCCTATCATAGGCTTTCTCCATATCAATCTTGCAAGCCATTATACCTTGTTTACCCTTTTTCTTTCTCATAGAGTGCAACATTTCATGGGCAATCAAGATGTTATCAGAAATTTGTCTCTTTGGAACAAATGCACTCTGGAAAGGGGAAATGAAATCCTCCAAAAGCAGTTTGATCTGATTAACCAGAATTTTCACAATGATTTTGTAAACCACATTGCAAAGGCTAATAGGCCTAAAGTCATTAACTAAATCTGGGTTCCCTTTTTTTGGGATAAGAGTGATGAAAGTTTTATTTAGAGCTTTGCTCATTTTCCCCGAGTGGAAAAAGGCTCTGACCTCTCTACACACAGAGTCGCAAATTATTGCCCAATATTTTTTGAAAAATAAAGCATTTAACCCATGGGCCAAGAGCTTTCAGATCCGGAATAGAGTTAAGAGTTTTGAAAATTTCCATATCTGGAATAGAGTTAAGCATTTAACCTCGCTAATATGGCTTTGGTTTATCTCATTGGGAATACATTGGTCACTAATAAGGCTTTGGTTTATTTTAGTAGTTCTAGGGTCAAGAGCTACTAGGACTATTAAAACATGAAAATATAATTTAAATAACAAATTATTCTTCTCTACGTTGATGGAATAAATAAACAAGCAGTTTATTCTTTTACCTGTTCTACTTTTAATCTACAAAATTCTTGAAATCTCTAATTGATTGTAGGCAAAATCTATGGTGCATGAACTGCTCTGTTAGACCAAAAATGTGAACTAGGTAATAAAATGACACTTCACAGCTGACATCTTTAAAAGTGTTAAGAGTCTTGATGGTAAATACACCTTTTGAAATGTGAACCAATGAAAAGTAATAGACAATGTGAGTTTAACGTCACTAGCTGAAATCTTGATTTAACGTGCAGCAAATATTTGTAAATGCACTGTAGTTGGACCCTTTATTGGATTCTATATATGAGGGATGTAAACATTCTGAAAATAAATTTTGAGAAAACCAGAGATTTAGAGACATACAGTAATCATATTTCCAGAAAGGCGCCTATTTATTATATCCATCATGACATCCTTCGAAAATTCTGGATGGCACTGTATACCCAGAACATTATCTCCTACTGCAAACATCTCAACTTCTGTTTTCTCTGAGGATGCTACCACCAAAGCACCAGGAGGAATACATGTGACCTGCAACAGAATCAGAGGAAGACATATAATGTAGATTGAAAGGTAATAATAGGATTCTTGTTCTTGCAGAATTTCTACAGAGGCATACCAACTGTCTAATATACTACTCAAACATACAACCATAAGCAGATGGCAGATCAAAAGTCCAAGTAGAAGCAGAAAAATCATTTGGTATATGATTCTGCCCATGATTGTGTGGTCCATTTGAGCGAGTGAAATACAAGAGTTCTTGGAGAAAAAGGGCAAGCCCCTAGTCATACTTAAGGAGCATAGGGATGACATGTTCTTTGCTAAATAGTAACTACTCAAAGATGTTCCATGGGGGTAGAATGTTGAGGGCCCGGGAATAGGATCTTGTCACGGGTCGGTCCACGGGGAAAACCTCCTGTTTTCCCTTGTTCCTTCCTGCTCTTGATGAACCTATCTTGGCGCCTCTGGTGATTTGTTCAAGAGATCACCAACTCTCCTAACTCACTTCTTCAACTGAATATTCGATATCTCATTCAATAATGGGRTCTCCTTAAATAGGAGATTACAAGAGTCCTAATCAAAGGGAGTCTCCTTGCTGAATAGGGAGACTTCCAGTTCTATCTTGTTAAGGATAAGATAAGCTAATCCTAATCCGATAAGCTACTAACAAGATAAGATAAGAGATAAGAACAATAAGATAAGAACAAGCAAATGAGCTAATCTAATCTAGATAAGGCTGCTGTTGTCGAACTGGGTAGGATGAGTATCACTGAATCATTGCTGTTGCTGGCGGTGGGTCAGGTGCCTGTTGCTGCCGGCGACGATGGTACGTCTTCCTGAGGAAGGCGTCCATAACATTACTCCCCTCCTGGACTACGAGCTTGTCCTCAAGCTCGAACTCTGGATATGTGGCTTGGAACTCCGCCAATGGGATCCATGTGGCTTCTGTTGATGGTAAATTACACCATTCCACCAAGACTTCAAGGGTTCCACGATTGAAACGAGAGCAGGTGACAGCTTTAGGTTGGGGGACCAGCTTGCCATCTTTCAAGGGTGGCAGGGAGGGAACTTGGTCCGGAGGAACACCCGTAAATGGCTTCAGAAAGGAGATGTGGAAGACATCATGAATCCGGCTGGTCTCAGGCAATTCCAGCTAGTAGGCCACACTGCCAATCCGTCTTAGAACCTTGTAGGGCCCATAGAACTTAGGGGCCAGCTTCGGGGCAGCCTTGTGGCGCAAGGAGCGTTGCCGGTAGGGCTGGAGTTTCAACCAAACAAATTGTCCTGGGTCGAATGACAGTTCCCGGTGGTGCTTGTCATAGTGGAGCTTCATGCGGAGCTGGGCCTACTGTAAGCGAAGGCGGACGTCGGCTAGGAGGGCGTCGCGTTCTTGTAAGGAGTGATCAATTGTTTCCAAACGAGTAGAACCCGACTCGTAGGAGGGCGCCAGCTCTCTCTTCTCTTCCTTTCTTGTTTGTTTTTTTTTCTGGTTTGCATCTAATCTCAAACAGTTCCATACATCAAGTGGGCTGTTTTTCAACTTGCTATCAGAGCGGGCCATTGCTTGGCGTGTCCCTCATGTGGTTCTAGTTCAGCCAACTATATGAGGAGGTTCAAGGGCTGAAAGTTTACAGTCATCCGCCTGGTTCTTGGAAGTCATTGGAGGGTGCCCAAGTTTCTATACACTTGGAGAAGGGTTCGGTGACCAGGAAGAATCAGAGAGCAAGTTGTTTGGCCTGATTTGAAATCAAAGAAAAAGAATTTCGAAGTTATCTCAGAGAACAAGTGTTCGGCCTGGTTTATAGTTCAAACCAGAGACTCTCTTACTGTAAGTCTTTTCTCARTCCTTTGCTGGGTTATTTTTTGTTGTTTGGGAGGACTGTTAAAGCATTTAAAGCCCACCTCCATTCGGCCCA